CCTGAGGGCATAGCATCTGTACAGCGGTCCCATACCGACAGATATACACACATACCATTTGATGGTTCCCGGCTAGTGCAATCTTACCATATCCGGTGTTCCAGTCACGTCACTTGTGCTGCAGCAGCCGTTGGCATCCTCCCTGCAACAATTTGTGCTCCGAGCTTCGCTCTTCACTTCAAGCCACTCTTCACTCTTCTTCATCTCGGACTAAACCACGGTGGAGATTTGCGTCTCCGGCAACAGTCCTGTTCCAGTTTTCTCGAAGAAGTATCACTGTTACTCCTTGTGTGTACACAAGCAACATCCAAGATGGCATCGTCCTCATCGTCATCGTTCAAAGCAAGCTCGTCGAGCCAGGCCTACAGCTCCAGCATAGGCAGCCGGGGAGGGGGATATGGAGGAGGAAGCTCCATAAAACTGGTCTCATCTGGTCTCACGCCTACCTACCAAACAGATACGGAAGGATTCACAAATTATAAAAAACTCAGCTCCAAAAGCAAGAAGCTCATCCGACAGAGTTACGAGATGGGAGACAGTGGTGTCGGCATGAAAAGACTGTTCCAAGTAGGCTGGTTTCTTATTCTCTTATCGGCATGCTTTATTTATCAGATAACATCAATATTATGATTTGTATTATTATCGCTATCAGACAAGATATCATCAGCTGCTATGTCTTGATTGTTAGTATATGATCATAAACACCTCAAGGAAGGGCTTTAAAAAGCAAAATTGAAGGAAATGCTGGCTGTCAGTCACACCAAGATTCATCTGTATAGCCTGCAACATTGTGCAAGGTGCATTGCAGGCTAACAAAATCCATTAATTTGTATTTGGTTCAGCAAAGCATTTCTTGAGGCAAAAAAAACCAACCTGAAAAATAGCTGGCATAACATAAACATTCCTTTGAAAGGTTAAAAGAGAAAGCTGGAGATGGCCTCCAAACTGGAATGAAAAGAAGCATGCCTCAGCCATTTCTTACATACTTTCTAAGAAATTACAAACTGAAAATAAAAATGATATGAGGAAGAAATCGAGTCACAATTGCAATTACCAAAGGAAATTAACATCTTAGTTTAATTAAGTTTAATGTCTGTTGTAAGCATTTAAATGCAAAGAAGAAAAAGCAAAACAAAACAAAAACAAACTGGTCACCCAAAACAAACTAAATAACTAAATAAAACTAATTAACTAAATAAAACTCCAATAACTTAGTTGATGACTTGCTATGAATTGCACCTTGTCTGTATCCCCGCCCTCAGCCCCCTGGAAAGGAGTCGGTCTGGCACACAGACCCTTCATCATTCAAAAGCTACGGCAAGCTGAGCATGGCATCCAAACGGCTGATCCGCCAGAGCTACGAGCTTGGCGACAGTAGTGCTGGCCTTAAGAGGCTCTTTCACGTATGATGGTTGCATTGTGTGGGAATGATGAGGCACAGTAGAATGTGGTTTGACGAGACAAAAGCAAACTGCACGAGCAATTTTGTAGGAAGTACATGCTGCAAGTGCAACATGCATGGAAGTTAATGTAAATGTTGATATGTGTCTTGAGTACATAAACACAATCTGATAGAAGTGCTTTTAGTGAATTGCAAACAACGTCAGTTGACGAAAGTTCTAATATTTGCATTTTTTATTTATTTTTTGAATAAATATTGCGCTGCTTTGAGGTAGTTCCAAATGGTCCAAAACACATGTAGATTTAGTCATATTTGTGGAGATTCTTTTTACCAGTACTGTTTTTTGTGCAATTTGTGAATAATGTTATTGTCAAACTTTAATACCAATTAAAAAGGGAAACTGCAAATTTTGACATAACATTTCAGAAACACAGTGTGGCAGCTGGATGCATGAAAGTTACCATGCACACATGTATTAATTTCTTGCTGGCATTCAGTAATTTCATTTGAAATGACTTGAACATTTCAAAACAAATTAAAAATAAGCCACTTTTTGCAAAACCATCACAAGCGAAGTTTGCTGTTCATAAACTGTTTCTTGTGGATGTAATCTTTGTTCATAATAACCATCATGCATGCATAAAGCCACGTGGGCTGTTTTCTTATTTTTGGCATAATAACACTTGATAAATTCTTCATTAAGCTAATAATATACTACTTTTTTTAAATAGCCAAATCACAGTTATGTCTGTGGGATAAAAAGTGTACAGTTAGGTTGGGCTGTCAGTTTGTTAAGAAACTGCTCAGCATTTCTGGCATTGCATTCAAGGACAGCCTTCATTCCAGATTTAAATTCCAATGTTAAAATTAGCTCTGGCCAATCTGGGCTATTTGGAAATTCATCTTCAGAGGCCAGGGTAGACTTGCCCAAGTATGTTGTGTCGCAAAGTATCAACACGCATAGCTCAGTAGGGGTGCCAGGACCCGCTGGGTCTGTTGAAAGACAGAGACTGGGTCATGGGGAGATGGTAAATTGATGATGACGATGGTGGCCATGCAGGGGGTAGTGTCTTGTCAGGAGGAGGATGCTTGAATTGGACTTCGAGGACAAGATGATGTAAACAGCTGAGAGGTGGAGGGATCATAAGGTTATGTCTCTTAATTGGAGCTTCAGGAAGATTGAGTCTTGGATAACGTTGCTTGCACAGACATGGAGCTTTAAGGAGCAATGGTGTCATGATAAATATTACCCATTGTCAGCAACGAATATCCATTTCCAAACTTGAACTTGAACAACGTACATGTATGCCTGCCTCTTGTTTAGTTGCTTTCATGTTGCATCTTAACTTTCTTTTATGTTCTTCCCGTGTTATAACTGGTTCTTCAGATTCAGCTGTTTTGACAAGTCCAATAAGCTAGTTTAATGAACCCAATGAGAAAGTTGAAGAATTTACAAAATTCAAAATAGTTCAAAAAGGGTCATTTAGGCCTATGCGTGCAAGGATAATAATGCAGCACAAATGACAAAGCTTTTCTTGTGTATTGGCCAAAGCTGTTGGCCCAAACTGGAGGATCATATAAAAGTAGTGCTTTGTACTACAAGAAATTGGAGAGAGGAACTCCCCAAGCATCATTAGTCCGTGACTGATGGCTTTGAATGCATCCAGATTGAATGGAGACAAGGCAACATCACCAAGGAATGTTGTCTGCCTGAGAAAGGAAAAACCCACACCAGACATTCCATTCCATTGATGTGCATATGATGATGAAGTCCTCAAGACCTCTTGCTCTCTCTTGGCAGTGTGTGTACATTTGTCTGTCTGGGATGCACACATATCAACACATACCCTGACTGACTGACTTGGGAATCTGCCATCTCATGACTACCAAATTTGGTGGCTGTCTGGCACACAGGACGTCTGTCAACCACTGCAAGGCCTAGGACTTGGTTAGAATACTGGAGGGAGTCCAGGATAACATTCCTTCACATACATGTGGCCAAGGCTTGCATTGGAACGTTACTAGCAACAGGAGTTTATCGTCCCTAATGAATTTGGGCCAATAACATGCAGTGGCTAAGCACACAATTACTGAGCACATTTACAGTTTTTTTTCCTGGAGATACCAGCCAACTTAGCTGGTAACTTTTGCATTATTCATTACATATTTATATTATTTAGGTACATATGACCAGAAAAGTGTGAATTACTTGTGGAAATTTGATAACAAAGATCAGCCCTCACCTGCTTGTATATCAGTCATAAAACCTACAAAAAAATGAGCTCATTTAAAAACTTACCCTGGACATGGTGTAATTTCAAGCTTACACTGTATTACTGAAAACTTGCACTCTCTCTCAGTGGTGTTGTCATGTGACTTGATCGCCATTGCCTTTCTGAGGGTGAGCTTAGGTCACACTGTGACCTCACTAAGGTCACGCTTGATCTGGAACCTGTCAGTCACAGCAGCTATTTACTTACTGAGTGAGGTTCAGGTTGGTGGCCCATTTATTTGGTCATTATCCTGGGGGATTAGGGTGAGTTGTAGACAAATTGGGTCAAGTGGTTTGACACACCCCCTGCCAAGTAGAGTTAGCCTGACTGAAGATTGACAAGGACCAGCTGGATCCATCAAGGAGAGAATGTAGTACAACAAAACCAGATAGAAAGGAATGATTGGATGGCAGTATGAATGGTTTAAAGAACCTGGGAGACAAGAAACCAACAAAATAGTCAAGAGCCAGGACTATGGGGTAGTGGTAGACTGTGAAGTGAAGAATTGAATACTTGATGGCACTGGGTAAAACCATGGAGCTATATTTCATAGCTCCATTGTATAACCCCCTGGATTAATAGAGTAATAATCTTTTTCACACTCTAGGACTTTTCATTGCATAGTACTGCTTTCACTTGATAACTCCTTTAGAGACAGCCTGTTCAAACATTGAACAGTTATTTGACACAAATCAATTACATGCAAGTTAAGTGCCACAGATAAAAGATTTTATCTATCTCAATTAACTTGAGAAGTTGAGGCACAATAAATTGTCCCTATCTTTTTCCAATAGAATGTGAATGAACCATACAATGATACATGAGACTCATGGCATTGTGAACTTGTACACCATCAATTGTTGACTTCTAGCTGCTCTCAAGATTTGATTGCTTTAAACTAAAAATGTAGATGTAAGTTGTATACAGTCATGTGCGTAACCCATTGAGGTTTTTTGTTTTTATTTGAGCATCATTTGAAATCAACATTTCTTTAAAATATTGCATATTTACTTCTGTATGAATTAAAAAACATTAAAATTATTATAAAAAGTGTAAGGTTTCAGTTTTGTGAAACCCAAGGGAACTTTTAGGTCTAACAAAGCTCTCAACCATTTATTTTCCTGTGTTGTAGTTGCATTGATTACTGAAGCTTTTTGGTTTTTGAGAAGAACAAAATTGTTGAGGGGTGTAACTAAACAATTGGTTTCTTCATTGCAGTCAATTTGGTGTTAAATACATGTCTTGTTGCCATGTCTCAATGGAAATCCCCTTTTTGAGTTAAATGACAAAATTCTTCTTTTATCTTTTTTCCTGCCTGCATACAGGCCCGTATTGAAGAGCTTGAAGATGAGTTGGAAGCCGAAAGACAGGCTCGTGCTAAGGTAAGACAAACAAGACACCATCACCTGCCTTCTATTGTCATTGCAATCCATTTGGCCTGATTCTGTATAAATCGGACATGACAAAAACATGGACTGATAACCGCAATCAACATTCTGAAATCGGTGGATGGGACAGTATTACATTTTCTTTTAAATATTGGCTATTTTTTCCCCCATAAGAATTTAGCTCGGAACAATGAAATTGCACAATTTTCCCGGTTTCTTTGTTTATGAAGGTGCTGCAACTCCGTATTTATAACGAAAGGAAAACAGATGACCTCTTAACATTTTCATGCACCCAAATTTCCAATGCCACAAATACCTGAAATTCTAAATGAGTCTTCGATAGATAATTATAAAAGAATCATGAAACCCATCAGTTTTAAAATATTATTTTGGAGTCTGATGATTGGCATTTTTGGTGGTAAAATGTGAATTTTGATTTTGTTTGAGTACAATCTTTTAAACCAATTTACAGTTTGTTTAAAAGACTTCTCTTCTTAAGTTTACCTACAGACTACAATAGAACAATCATTGATTGATTCTATAGCTGATCTTACAATGCTACACATTAACGTGACCTCTTCACTGTTTGTTCTACCATTTCAGGCAGAAAAGCAGCGTGCCGAGTTGGGCCGTGAGCTTGATGACCTCAGCGACCGTCTGGAGGAACAGGGTGGTGCTACCACTGCACAGATCGAGCTGAACAAGAAGCGAGAATCGGAGCTCATCAAGATGAAACGAGAGCTAGATGAGGCCCATATGCAGCATGAGACCTCTATGGCATCCATCCGTAAGAAGCAACAGGAAACAGTTTCTGAGCTGTCTGAGAACCTGGACCAACTCTCCAGGACAAAGACCAAGTAAGTCTTGGCAACAATTAGGTTTGGCAACGTTTTAGATGTGGTGCACACCATTGGGTATGGTTTTTATGAAACAAAGTTTGCAAGAGGGCTTTGGACACTAGTTACTAAAGTCATTGCAAAATGGAGCACCCAAACTTTATGGTTATAAACGGCCACAAAATGGTCATTCCTTCATTACAGAAATATTTTCCAAAGAATCTTTGCTGTTTGGAGAATACCAGCACAAAGAAGAATTTGTGGGATTGGGCTGCAATCATGAAAAGTCCAAGAGGGTAACAAGCAAGCAATAGTCAGAATTCGGTGTTCGGTGGGCATTCATGATTCTGACATGTTTTTCTACTTTCTGGATAGGATTGACAAAGATCGTCAGATGCTGAAGGCAGAAGTGGAAGACATGAATACAAACGTTGAAATGCTGCAGAGAGCTAAGGTACTTAAGTTTACATCTGCCAATGTATTAGCATCCTTCCAATAGGTCTCTCTTAAATGACGTCACTTCCTACAGATTGTCACGTGCATCAGCATTTTGGAAAGTCACATTTTCGTGACACGCATTGGCTGCGCAGTATTTCGCACGCGTGTTTCTAACATTTTACACACTGCGCGCACACGCACCTGATGGCGTTGAACACGCAATTGTAATCTTCCTAAGAAGATGGCGTTCTGTGAGAGAGATCAATAGGCCTTATTCTGGAACGTGTGTGGGCGCTGTTTAGACACCATTTTGGGATATAAACAGACGCGTAACTGATGTTATTGACGTCAGTTTACATATTACTACAATTCAAATATCTTTTTTGCAAGCTTTAAGTTTGAGATTCAAGTAAAGGTACTAGACTGCCTCAATGAACAAGATTTCTGGGGTTGCTCATTATAGCGTCCTCATTTGCTCAAACTAATGGCCTATCTGGTTTGTGAGTGACTGTGTCATACACATGCATGCACCACTAATTACTAGCGTGGGGAGAGGGTTCTTAATGGGATGGGTTTGATTGTAAGCCATTGCATAGACTCAACAAGTAGACCATGACTTCTCCTTTACTCTCTGACTAGATGAACTCTGACAAGACAATCCATCAGCTAGAGGCTCAGCTGTCTGAACTCAATGGCGCAATGGATGAGCGTAACCGCTCCATCAGTGAGATGAACTCCCAAAAGAACCGACTGACCAATGAAAACTCTGAGCTGACTCGTCAGCTGGAGGAGTCTGAGAGCAATTCTGGCCAGATGAGCAAGAACCGCATGCAGCTACTTGCCCAACTGGAGGAACTGAAGAGACAGCTGGATGACGAGAGCAGGGTAAGAAGACTTTAACTTCAATGTTGATTGAATGCTTGAGGAATCAGTAATTTGCGGAAAGTAAAGGATTTTTGAGGACCTCACTTTTTCAGATTTGACAGAACATTTCAGACATTTGGTAAAGTTTTACTAAACGCTCTTATAAGGAAAAGTCCTTCACTTAAAAGATGCATTATCCCATTGTTTCTTGATGGAAGACTATACACAGCAATATGGACCCAAGCCCTCTTGTTCAAGATTTGATCTACCTCCCAACAACTTCAATACACAAGTCAAAACAGTTGATTGTCTGTTTTCTCTGACCTTGCCACAGTCTCGCCAGTCCCTGCACCAGCAACTGAAGCAAGCTCAAATGGACAATGACTCCCTGCGAGATCAGGTAGAGGAGGAGGCTGAGGGTCGTGCTGACCTGGCTCGTCAGCTGGCTAAGTCTAACCAGGAACTGCAGGCTATGAAGGCTAAGTTTGATGGGGAAGCTGTGCATCGGGCCGAGGAACTGGAAGAACAGAGGTGAACACATGTGGAGTTTGGCCTGTTTACTGTATTGTTTATTTCCTTCACAGTGGAAATCATAGATTGTATATTGCACAATATCTACAAAGTGGCAATGAATCATAAGTACATTTTGTGGATACAACCCTGACTTTTGGAGGAGACCCTCCTTAATCTGTGAAGACTATGGACTGATGCTGGAATTTTGTGTGAGACATTTTTAAAACTTTTTTTTTGGCATTTTTGGCAGTCCATTCAAGTTTTTTTTTTCTATGCATTTGAAGGGAAAAAAGAGTGAGATAGCTCATGTTTGGGTGTTTTCTGCGTTTCCAGGAAGAAGCTGATGGTGCGTTTGGCTCAACTTGAGGAGCAACTCAGCCAGGCATTGACTAAGAACGGCAGCCTGGAGAAGGCTAAGGCTCGGCTTTCTGGGGAAGTAGAAGATCTTATGATTGATGTGGAAAGGGTGAGTGTCAGATATAAAAGCGTTTGTGCTTGACTAACTGTTTTATCAAGAGCACATTTTCAACAGGGACCAGTTATATGAAGATATTTGGTAAGCACGGAACTGGCTTAGCAGAGAAAGTAATTTTTCATTTCAGGAGTAAATTGAATAATTGAATTCCGATTACTTCATTAATCAAGGCTGAGAACTTTCATCATGGACTCCATATATAGTAGATGGTTCTGTCATTGGGACACGTCCAGTGCACACAATGATTAGCAAGCTTGTGGCTGGAAGTGGTCATCTCAATGTGTGCAAAGCAATGCCATTCAGGATTCTGTCCAACTCTCTCTATTTATCACTGTTACTGGGGGGGGGGGGATTGCACAGAGGTCATACCTGCCAGTAAGGAGTTGAAATAGGCAGTTGATAAAAGTATGTTCGATTCTTACCTTTAAAATCTACTATAAAATCAAGACAAACTGTCCAATTATTTGTGTATCCAATGTAGGAATCCAATCGTGCCAATGCATTGGAGAAGAAGCAACGTAACTTTGACCAGGTCCTGGCAGAGTGGAAGGCCAAGGTAGATGAACTGAGTAATGAGCTGGATGCTGCCCAACGTGAGGCTCGCCAGTACTCCACTGAACTGTTCAAGATCAAGAACTCCTATGAAGAAGTCATTGAGACTGTTGAAATCGTGCGCAGGGAGAACAAGACCTTGCAAGGTAAGGCATTCTATTCAACAAAGACAGTCTAAAGATGTACTGTCTGTGCTCGTTAACAAACTTGATTTGAAAAAACAAACTACCTTGCTAGCTAGTTTAATGAAAGTGAATCAGTGAAATGGCTAGGCTACTAGGATCTTAAGAAAACGGTGCTAATTTGTAAAAGAAAAGACTCGAGCTGAGCTTTCACTCGGAGAACAGCAAACAAGCCATTAAACAACCTTTGAGACAAAAACAGAATGATTTGATAAACTTAGTACTGATCGTTTATTCTTTCAAATGAACTGGAAAAACATTACAACATTCCTGTATGCCCCATGGGAGGTATGGGAGCATGATAGCAGTGCAGTGACTGTGGGTGGAAAAGCTCCAAAATAAGGGTGATTGTTTTTGACAAAGCCATGGATGGAAAATATATTTGTAAAGATGGAAATGAAGTATTGGATCTCTTATTTAAAGGACAAAATAAAACCTTGTTTCAAGCTAAGTCCCAGTTTTGTTTGTCTTTATCCTTTACCACCTCAATTTTGGCCTTGTCTAGTTGAGATCGTTGAGCTGACTGAGCAACTCGGTGAGGGTGGCAAGAGTGTCCATGAGCTGGAGAAGGCTCGCAAGCGCCTGGAGATGGAGAAAGAGGAGCTGCAAGCAGCCCTGGAGGAGGCAGAGAATGCCCTGGAATTGGAGGAAGGTAAAGTGGTCCGTGCTCAACTAGACTTGGCCCAGACCAAGAATGAGATTGAACGCCGCCTCAACGAGAAAGAAGAGGAGTTTGAAGCCACACGGTGAGTTAGTCCTTGCACTGTAGACTTAGTGCTGATGATAGGTGTTTCCCTTGTTAAGATTCAGTCATGGATTTCTCACTGGGCTTGGCCTTGTTCAGTCGCCCATCTGGTCATGTTATTTATGAAAAAAAGTTCATAAAACTGAAGTGAATAGCAGTTGTCACCATCCTGTTAGTAGTGGTACAGCTTACTCTTTGAATGCAGATTGTAAATTTGCTTAATTAGATGGAGCTAAAACTGTCTGCTGTAGCATTCAATATTATAAATGGTTCATCACAAGCAGGCACTTTTTTGAGTCAATTTATCGGCTTGCTGCACACAATAAGTTAATGCTATAATGTCCATACTTAAAAGGGGATTCCTTAGTTATTGCATGCACATGTGTAAACAGGCCAAATTCCTTGCAGAAGCATGGAATCCTTTACAATAAGCCAGTTTGGTATTCCAGCTGTGCATGTGCACAACGATATGGGTCACGGGTCATGCGGGATAATCGAACAATCGAAGGCGCACGACACTTGGGTGTCAATTACGAGCAGAGTGGGCATGCGCGTAACATATTCGTAACATCATGTCAGCAATGTTGTCCCAAATGACCTCGGGTCATTGAGATACTGAACTGACTTATTGTGTGGACTTTTCTGCAAGAAAGCCTCGGAATCTTTGCTTACGTGCAATTTTAGGAACCAGAATTGTTACCTTGGCATTTCAATCAGACTGACTGACACAAGACACAGACCTGGTTTTGCAAACAAGTTGATCCCTTATCCTCGTTTGGTGTTGACAGCAAGAACCACCAGCGCGCTCTGGAGTCCATGCAAGCCAGCTTGGAGGCTGAGAGCAGGGGCAAAGCTGAGGCTCTGCGACTCAAGAAGAAACTGGAAGGCGAGGTCAATGAGCTGGAGATTCAGCTGGATGCTGCCAACAGACAAATAGCCGACCTCCAGAAGCAACTCAAGAAATACATGGCTGATCTCAAGGTAGGTTGGGCTTGGGGTCTGGATGTACATGTATGTCAACAGTTTGGAATAAAGCAGCTGAATTGGGCAACAAATCTTAAACTAAAAACTCTTTAAAGGTTTATTTCCACAAATATCAGGCAAAATTAAAGCATTGTATAACGTTGTTTATGATACCTGTATTGATATTGTGTGGAATTCTATGAAGAGCACTTGCCAGATCGGATGAAAAGGTGACTGTATACACGTGATTTGTGTAGTTTGCTTAGCACATTTGGGGAAACACACAAAAAATGTTATGTAGAATTGAAACAGTCACTAACTCTGTCAAAATGTTTGTGTTCCTAACATGCATCCCTGTGGAGTATAGAAGCAAGGTATGGTAGCTCACACATCATCATGTTTACTAGTGTTGTAGTCCATTATTTTTCCATGAGTATACTGAGTATGGATAAAGGAATACTAGTGTATAGATGACTATGAGTACAAATATGAGTACAGAAAAACTCACATACCTATGAGTAAAGTTATTGGGAGTACAGCACATGTTTTAAGTATAAGTTAGTGCCACAAATGTGTCTCTTTCTCCCTCTGCTGGAGCTCTGATTCAAATATTAAGCTAGAAGTCCCTATAGTGCATCCGTGTATGGTACCTTGATAGTCCCCAAACTTATAACATCCTAACATTCAGTGCTACAATTACATAGTCCACTAGGACGTTGACTTTGAATTCTGTCCTTGAATGCACAAGGAAGTGACTATCTTGAGTATTTCTATATTGACTTTTTACCAGGAATTGCATGGCAACTATGAGGAGGAGATCCGTATCCGTGATGACCTACGCGACCAGCTGCAGTTGACAGAGCGTCGCTCCAACCTTCTCATGGCTGAATTGGAAGAGCAGCGTGCTTCTCTGGAACATGTAAGTGGCCAAAGTCTGCTCCTTGGCCAACCCCTTACCACCATGCAAAGTGTCAAATACAAAGCTAAACATTACCTATACAGCAGGGCTTGACATACCAATTAGACTGCTGGACTGATTCCAGTAATTTGAATACTTGATATATAATACTTTGTGTGACTAAAGAAGACTAGTGATCTAGTGGCTTGTCATATGCTCTATTCAAAGTTCAACTTTGGTACATTTCTGTTTCTACAATTCATAACAATGAATAAGAAATTGCTTATACATAGTTTGACTTTATCCTTAGCAAATGCTCATCCCTTTTAATCTAAACTGACAATGTGTTCTTCCTTTGGAACTGGTCCAATAAATATGTCCCATCTCATAAAATTATATTTTCCAGGGTTTTTAACCTAAAGTTCAGGCCCCCGTCTAGTTATTATAGACTTGCATTGACATGGATACAACTTTTTGATCTCATCTGAATTACTTGTAGTCTGAAAGATCCCGCCGACAAGCAGAAAATGACTTGGCTGACCAGAGTGACCGTATGACTGATCTGACTGCAGCCAACCACAGCCTGACCAGCCAACGCCGCAAGATGGAGGCTGAGATCCAGACTATGCAAGGCGAATTGGATGACTTGGGCAGTGAGGCACGCAACGCAGATGATCGCGCCAAGAAGGCTGTCTCAGATGTAAGCATAATTCCAAATCTCAACTGCTGGGAGGGAGCACAAACGAAAAATGAATATTGATTAGAAAATCCACATGTTTTAAAAAAATCCTCATAACAGCTTGAAATATTGATCTGTAAATTAGTGATAAATGCACGATGCACAACAATATTATTGGTGACTTTAACTGGGAATGTTATTGCCACATGGGGACCTAATTCTCTGTGTGAGATACCCAACAAAAACAAAAATGATGCAAGAAAACAAGTTATCGACTTGAAAACTATTGCTGTCTTTCAGGCCACTCGCATGGCAGAGGAGCTTAGGGCAGAGCAGGACCACTCCATGCACGTCCAGAAGATGTACAAATCAGTGGAGCTGACTGTCAAGGACATGCAGTCAAGACTGGAGGAGGCTGAAGCTATGGCTCTCAAGGGAGGCAAGACTACCATCATGAAACTGGAGAAGAAGGTCAGTATATGCCATGGTCCAGTGGTTACGGTGTTTGACTCATATACGAAGGTGCTTGGGTTCGAACCCCGCCAGGAACATTGGTGTTTGTGCCCTTGGGTAAGACACTTAACTTCAATTGCCTCTCTCCGCCCAGGAGTATGAATGGGTACCTGTGAGGGTCAAGGACCGATTGAGCGCTGATATCGGCTGCCGCGTGGTCCCATGGCCTGATGAACAGGGTAATAATTGTAAAGCGCTTTGAGATCGTTGATATGATGGAAAGCGCTATATATAAGTACAATTATTTTTTATTATTATAAATGCATCAGAGATGATGGAACAGGTTCAGTGTTACTCACAGGCAGGAGATTTTCACAACAAAATGGACGGTCAAGAGAAAGATGGCACTTGTAGTGAGATGGCACCCTTAGTGATATCTAAACCAACAAACCTCCGATTCCATGGATATACTTGCAGAATAAAGGTCTTTAATTTGAGACTGCCAACCAAATCCAAACACAGTTCTTCAATTGTCCAATATTTATCCTCCCTAGTTGCATGAGACTGAACGCGACCTGGATGCTGAGACCCGTCGCCGCAGCGACCTGGACAAGGCTGTGAGGAAGCAGGAACGCCGTCTGAAGGAGATCATCCTGAACTCAGAGGAGGAACGCAAGACCCACGATCGGCTTCAGGAACTCATCGACAAACTTCAGATCAAATGCAAGAACTTTAAGAGACAAACCGAGGAAGCCGTAAGTAAAATATGGTCAGGTGAGGGGGGGGGAGGGAAGGGCAGAAGAGACAGCCTAGCTAATAGAAACCTCAGGCAAAATCTGTTGTCTTGCTTAAACTGTTGTTTGCTCTGGCATTTTTTTCCAAGCAACAAAAGACAAATTATGGATTTGATATCCAAGCTGAAAAATACAGCCAATTTGTGGACTACTGTTTTTATGCACGATTATATGAGGGTGCTGTGAGTGAGACCAATCGATCAAGGAGTACAGACAGATGTGGATGTACTTCAATTCTCAAAGCTATGACTGTTTCTGCTGCTCAAATTAAGAGGGTGTTAATAGTGCACTCCAATCACTCTTTGCTATGTATCTCAGGCTTGATACTTGAATCTTCATTCCTGCAGGAGGAGATGGCTAACCTGAACCTGAACAAATTCAGGGGAGCTCAGCGTGAACTTGAAGACATGGAAGATCGCATGGAGATTGCTGAGAGCACTGTCAACAAGCTGCGTGCCAAGCATCGTAGTGGGGTTGTTGGCTCCGGATCCACCACCCGCATCACCACGGTACTTTGCGATTCCGATTCCGAACAAGAAATCGATTACGAATTTGAGCGGCCTGATACGTACTACTACTAACTGATCTCCACAAGCGAGCCCCCTCGATTCTCTCTCAATTTTGCCACGGTACTTTTGCGCATTTCTTCAATTTTTGTTCTGGATTTGTCGGTGTTATTGCACTGCGGCCCAAGTTCATCATGTCAGGCGGCATGGTTGAGAGCCGGAAATGCACCAATCATGCTGTATGTACCAACAAGGAATGAAACGAGAGTCACTATTGGCTAGAAACAAAAATATGCAAATTAGGAAGACAAGTCTAAAAACCTCAGGCTTAAAGTACCTGGCATTATTAACTAGAATCTCATTCATACTCATGAACTCTTTTTTAATTGGGCTGATTGATTTATAAAAAAAAATGAAACCCAATGGCTGACATGTTTTTACAAACTGCCTGATGATTTGGTTTGTAATCAGTAAACAAATGCTAAGCTTTCTACAAGCTGTTTTTAATTCCCACTTGGCCATTTGTCAAGGCTGACTCAGCACACCTATATTTCCCAGCAGCGAGCAATCATGCCAATTGACCAATGAATGGGGTCTTAATTTAACATGCCGTTTGTTTGACAAGAAACCAAAATTACTAAAAGGCAGAGTCATTGCATGACAAACGTCCTTGTTTCTCGCAAAAACCCAACACTTGTTTCTAGCCTAATTTGCACAGTTGTTCAAGCCATTGCTTTTATTACTGATCATAAAATGTGGGCAGCATGGCCTATGCACCACAACTGACAGGGTTTTAGATGAAGACAAGACAAGTTTGCATGAGGAAATCTGTGGGAGATGTGCAATAGTAGTGTGGCAAACTGAGCAGAGAAGTTGTTAAACAGCAAGTCTTGACTTGCTGGTTTTGATTGTGCATGCTTTGTTATACCTCCTGGCATGAATACTTCTTTCAAGTTGGTGTTGGTTTCAATTTCAAATGATGAAATGTCAGGTTTGTAAGCATCTATTTTCAGTCAAATTTGTCTCTTTGTAACATATTGTTTCAAATATGCTGCAGCTAGAAAGTATGTTTTGAAAGCATATCTCCATCAGCTTCATATTTCTTTGACATTTGTGTGACAAGTTTGTGCATGTGTGCATGCAACACAAAGTTTTGCAGATGCCATTTGGAGGCGGGTTTGAAACACCCACTGCTTTAAGCATGGAGTTTTCATGTCAAGCTGCGGTTACTTCCATCACTTTCCAGCATACCATATTTGTCAAGAGTGAACCAGTTTAGCTGATGTGTTGCTAACTTTGGACAGCACAGAGGCTTATAACCCACTGGGTTTCCATGTAAAGCTGTACTCCATTGGGACCAGCTTCGTGAAAGAGTAAAGTAATGGTAATCAGGGTTTGTCTGCTGAAGGACGGGTCCTTATCTACCTGTGAACATCTGATCACGTCTTGATTATCATGGGAACCAGTGTTATACTGCACTTCATTTGCATGGCAATATGTCACATTATCATACTTACGCTTCTTATATTTTGCAAATCCACTTCACACTAACAGTTCTCACATCCATTATTAACTTCTTTTTTTCCTCACTTTCTTTACCTCTAACTACATGATTTTTTCATTTAAGTCCACTTGTCTCATTAAATCCACTTGTCTCATATAATATAAATTTCAATTTTTTAAGAAAATCGCTCTTTGTAATTCACTGAACTAGTTGTACACTGAGTGAATTACTGGGAAATCAGCTTCAAATTATTTGGATAACACTGTGAAAAACACTTTTGAGGACAGTTTGAAATGTTTGGTTCAGCATGAAACCTAATTTTACTTCACAAGCAGTTTTTTGGATCTAAAAATCACTTTCCAAATCAACTGTGAGGTTGCAAGCTCAGCTTCATTTCAATTTAAAATAAAATTTGAAAGGAAATATGTCACTGTTTGCTTCATTGCTAACTTTTTACTGCCGACATGCACTGTACTTTCGGGGGGGGGGGGGGGTTGTTGACAAGGCACATTTCTATTCATGCCTGAGGCTAAGCATTTTCCAAGTGCCTTTTTTTCTGAGCATGTGCCATTTCTTGTGTGAATTTTCATCAAATTGAATAGTCTTTTTATTTGAAGCATTTCTAAGCCGATTGTGTTCCATGCGTGTACTACCTTTTCATTGCATGATCAAAGAGTGATTCCAACTTAATTCAAATGCTACATAAAAAGTATGAGATTGTTTGATTATCAACGCTTTATCAGTGTATATGAACATATGAAACAATTTGCATTTACTGTAATAATAACTCATTACACAGCAATTTGGCAAAAATCAATTTTCTAAATCATTTAATTTGTTTCTCTTTCTTCCTCCATTTCCCTACCATTCAATCCCACCAATCCATCTCTTTATTCCCTCTCTCTTGTAATAATGTCCACATGATTTCTTGCCCCTTGTCCATTCCCTACTATCTTCTCATCTGTTTGTTTCCTTTGTGTCTATTTATCTGTCTGTCTGTCTGTTGACTCTTGTTGTATTGTTGTCTTGTTTCCATTCTCCATGCCTTCAATGCCTTCTACTGTTCCTTCCTTCTCTGCCCCACACTACCACATCCTCTTACTTCTACACCATTCCTGCCAAAATAAAATATGCATTATTACCCCCCCCCCCTCCCCCTAAACTTCATTCCACCTCTTCTGGACTTACCTCCCACTTCACATCTTATAGAAAACTACCAGTGGATCCTCCTCTGTCATGAGGAGTGCGTCCTCATCTTCTCGCCATTAGATGTCTCATCACCACCATCCCAGCATATCATTCTAGATCTCAATGGTAAATCTCACACTCTTCATATGGGTCGGGTTATAGTTTCTTCAGAAGTTATGTGCAGATCTTTTGCCCAACTTAAGGGTTTTTGCATATTGAGTGGAGAACATTACCCAACTCTATGAATGAAGAACACATCAAGGATCTAGGTCAAAGATATCAAGAGAAGAAGCTTGAAACAAACTGGGTTGGAATGATGATTTCTGTGAGAAGTCATCAATAAGAATTTTATTTTCAGTTTTTTTGGATTGATGTGAAAAAGCATCTTATTGTCCATATGGCAAAATGAAAATAGAGTCTTTGTTGGGCTTCCTAAAGTTACAACAGTGAGCAATTTGGTGCCAGGGATTACATCATAGACACCAGACTACATTCTTAGTGACAGCAATTTACCAAGCCAGATGAGCTTTACTGCAAAAACAATACGGAACATTTTGTTTTCAAAATTTTACAGAAGGATTTGCGTTGGTTAAGCCACTGTTTCTACTGCCTAGTACATTGCATGAATTGCATACTGTACTGAACGGTTTTGATTCTAAAATAGAATCAATACCCAAGGACTGCAGGAATCTATGTTGAAGGCAAGCCATGAAATAAGACCATACTATCCATAAGTAAGATTTGAGTTGTGCCAAAGAGGTCTTGGAATTTAAGTTTTGAGAAAGTTTATTAGATCAGTGACGTTGAATCAATGACTGAGAATGTGAAAAGCCATTTTGAAGCAAGTCAGGAAATCAGACCATACAAGTAATACAAGAGATTGAGCTGTGACACAGAAGTCCTTTTGAATTTAATTTTGGAACAGTTTTATGAAATTGATTAAGACTTACTTGAGACTGTGGAAAGCAGTCTTGAGCATTGTCACAGAAATGTTTGACATTTGATTTTGGGAAGATTGTCTTTATAAATTTGTGTGCTGGTTTGTTGTCTTTCCCAACAGGGTGGTTTCAGCCGATTCCCTTTGCCAACCCCTCGGGCTAGTGCTTCCCCAAGTAATGAACGCAGTAGCCGCAGCAACCGCAGTAGTCGCAGTTCCGTAACATCAACCAATGGAAAGGACCAGCAAGAAGAAGAAGAAGAAGAAGAAGAAGAAGAGGAGGAGAGAGGAGGAGGAGGAATAGGTTGATGATACGGACACTGATTGTTCTTAGCATCTATAATAGCAATATAGCTGTGTATGTTATTTATGTAGTATGAGGACATGCAACTTTTGACAGAGCGATATTTTTGTGCTTCATTTTCAGACATTCATTGTTTGTACAGTTAACACAATCGTGTCACAGAAAACTTTTTTTCTTTTTTCTCTGATCAATCAGAAATGAGTGTATTATTATTCTCCTTTTTTTTGTAGGCCCCAAACCCCCAAAATGCTTTGTGGGGGCGGAGCTAATTGGGGGACAAAAGGCAATAATTCTAGTTTTTTTCCCACAATTGAGTATTCTAGTACAGTACTTTTAATATGAGTAATACTAAAACAGGTGCATTCAGTGTCATGCAATAGTTTGAAAAAGATGATTAGTTTATTTATTGGTTTTAAAGTATTATATAACTTCATAGTATTTAATAGTCTATAGTATTTAATTTCACCATTTAAAATATAAAACTTATTTATATTTGTCATTTATAAGGACTTTCTCTTCTTAAAAAATATGCTAATTATACTATAAAAATATTCACCATACTTTTGCTGGTTTGACAAAGTATGACTGTATTAAAATGTTTAAAATGGTATCACAGTCAAAGAAAATGAAGGCAAGGATTCGGCTGAATAGATTCGGAGCCTAAAATCTTGACCTTTTGACCTGGGAACCATGTTTGAATAAATTAAAATGCTGATTGAGGATTAACCAATCGGATGAAGCCAGTACAAAGTTTTTGATGTAACCGGAGTGAAACTGCATGTAACAAGGGTTAGTTAAACGGTTTATAGAAAACCTGTGTGGTTTTTGTTGAAAGCAAACCGTCCAGTGGTTTTTCGAGACTCACCAAGTGGTTTGATGAACAAGGAGATGACAAGATGCGACTTTAACCAAATCAGTTTTTACATATGAAGGTTGTTGGGGAAGAATTCTTTCGTAGAAGCACACCGGTTTTAAACAATGAAAGGTTTAGATGTTTGCAGTTATGTAGTGAGAAGATGAATTGAGTAATACGCCAATCTGGGCTGAATGATATGCAGATGTTTTTGTAACGGTACCTATAAGGAGCCTATGTCACCGTAATTTCCCTCACAAATATTGCAAGTGATTGTATTTTAATGGTAGCTCTTAGTGGTACTTACCTCGTGTGTAATCAGTCCTTTATTTTTCAAATCATGTATCTTAACTTTGGTGCATACTTCATACTTAAAGAAAGTTGTTTGGAATTGTTAAATAACGAGTACAATTGTCTCATTCCAAACTGAGGACATTTAATTGTAACCTTGTATTCTGGAAAACGTGAACCGTGGGCATGATTGAAAACCAAGTAATGGAAAATTGAAATCTGATAAGTGTAAATACACAACAGATCACTGGTTTATCGTATGAGGAGTGGAAAACTTTGTTTGGATAGTTGACGTGTATTATAAACCGCGTTTTACTAGTAACTAGTTCACTTGGAACCGTTTGAAATATAGAAGAGGTGGAGGAGACTTGGGCTGGTTACCACCCATGAGGTTTGGACTGGTGGAGGCATTGAAACAATGTAAACTACGTTTGGCATGGTATAATAGGATGCAGTAACTAGACTCTTTATAACTGCGTTATCTAAACTAGATATTAATTAAACCGGTTTTTAGGTTAGGTATAGTTGATGGTTTATGATGTGAAACCTAATGTGGCTTTCATGGCAATCGATTGCTTCATTGTATGAGTTGTTCGTGTATGTCATGTGGTCGTTTCCCCTTTGAAAACAATGCTAATGATTAAACATGCGTGGGTTGGTACCAATTCGCTATTTAACAAAATAAAAAATTGTCAAAGAATTCATGTTGTTGGAGTCATGCTCTCGTGTATACCATGCTCTAGTTTCCTAGCTGGCAGCCACAAAACACTGCGCCTCACGTGCGACATATAGAAAATATTCTCTCTACATTTCGGTTCACGAGTTAAAAAAGCTGTTTAAATGTGCATTTTCACACGAAACAATTATCTTGGATGAAATGTGGCTCATCTTTTTGGCCATCATAATTGGGCGTCTCATATATAAGCCCCGCCCCTTGATTGGCAGCACGTTTGAGCTCTCACCAATCACTTGTCATGCAAGTGTAGCTAGCCTGTACAATATTTAACAATCCCTAATTCTGCACGGGTCGTGAACTTGTGGCTAGACAAGAACGCTTTGAATTCCTTTGTTTAGTTTGAATAGCAGCCTTGAGGAAAAAGTACTAAAATAGCACCAGAATCACTATATTTAGCGACAGATTCACGGCTGATTGCAGTCCATTGTATCCAAGCACATTGTTACGTTTGACAGTTCAGTGGTGCACAAAGGATAGGGCCGGGAGCGTTTCTATTTTTAACTCCGCTTTTCTTTGGTAAAGTTCGCACGGTCTAGTGGCCATTCTGGTGGTTTCTCCTTCGTTTATTCTGCATGCTCTGACCCCCGCGACTGAGTTTTTGCACACCGTCGCAAAAACGTTCGCACAGATAAACAAGTATTTGTGGCCTGGTATTCCCAAAATCGTTTTAATTTAATTTTCTACAGCAGCTTTCTTATGGATTATGGCAAAGGTATTTGAAATGAGCGAGAATTTTGTTCATCGTAATTAAGAATCTGTTTAGGATACATGTATGAAGGTTTAACCTCGCACGTCAATCAATTAAGTAGGCCACATTTTGCTGATGTTTTTCTATAAGACAAACACATTTACGTTGTTAATGGAAACTTAATCCATAGAGAATCACGTTACAATATCTGGGTTTGATTTGTCCTTTAGTTTTCGAACAAAAAATGCCGGAAATGCATGAAGCTGCTGGAGCAATGCTGCTTCAATTTGCAAAGTTCAACATCATCACAAACAAGCTTGCTAAGTTTATAATAATTTGAGTCTATACTAGCCAAATGTCATGTAATGTGTAGGCCCATATTGTACGCAATTCGATGCATCTGCTGACATCCAAGAAGATTGCTACACGACAGAAAAAGAGACTCATTTCAAGCTATATCTGGTCCAAGTACTCGACAACAGAACTTCGTTGCGGATGTCTTCTTTGTAAGTTTAAGTTAAAAACAACAACCTCGTTCCCAGTGTGTCGAACAGTACCGGTACGCTCCCACCACTACCTGCTATCTCCTATTGGAAACGAGGTTGGAAATAAAGTAGGCCCTGGGGACGAGTTTGTATAAACAATGAATGCAAAAATGTTGACTCCTGCTTATTCAAGCGATATACAGAAAACATTGCCCTCTTACTCCGCCATTACGCTAAGGTCTATATGCATCAGAAACGTGGACAGTTAGAAATATTATTGAGGCCTAACAGGCTTTTGAGATGTAGAATTGTAGATGTTATGCTACAATTTGGAATATTATAATAATATAAGAAAGGGGGTTTTTGCAAACGATCAAAATAAGACAACTGAACTATTTCAGTCATGTCAAGAGACATGAACGCACCCAGAGAACGCTGTGAGATGGATGTATCGAAGGCTAACGTGGACGTCAAGAGTGGGAGGGGCAACATTAAACAATGGACCAATCACAGCCTCGAGTGCACACGATTGGCGCGACAGGGTTCGTTGGCTGTCCACTACATGCTTCGGAGTTGGCACCACTGATACAGTTTCACGTTACATCAAGAAACCTTCACCAATCCCGACAGGCCCTCATAGTTATTATCACAATGACGTCATGTTACTCAGTGGGTCCAGAGGATTTGCTTGGATTATTTATTAATCATGAACAAGGAGGCGGGTACGAAAGCCCTGTAGTGCCATCAAGTATATATTTCGCCAAGTTCGTTTTTATGAGTTATATATTTCGCCAAGTTCGTTTTTATGAGTTATATATTTCGCCAAGTTCGTTTTTATGAGTTATATATTTCGCCAAGTTCGTTTTTATGAGATACATTTTGTCGAAGTTCGTTTTTATGAGATACATTTTGTTGAAGTTCGTTTTTATGAGTTACATTTTCTCGAAGTTCGTTTTTATGAGTTACATTTTCTCGAAGTTCGTTTTTATGAGATACATTTTGTCGAAGTTCGTTTTTATGAGATATATTTTACGGAGTTACGGAGTTTTATGAAGTTACGGAGCCCCTAAAGGACATCCAAAATTATTTTCTTATCTCGTGCGCACGACATAATATCTCGTGCGCACGAGATAATTATAAGTATTAACGGAGCTTGCTGCACTTGCAGCGGACGAGTTTGTGTGTAACGAAAGCAGCGTGTCTGGTACGCTGCCCCTAAAGGAACATCCAAAATTATGTTATTATCTCGTGCGCACGACATACTATCTCGTGCGCATGACATATATCTCGTGCGCACGACATGCGCAAGCTCCGTTAATGCTTATAATTATCTCGTGCGCACGAGATATATGTCGTGCGCACGAGATATATGTCGTGCGCACGAGATATATGTCGTGCGCACGTGATAATTATCTCGTGCGCACGAGATATTATGTCGTGCGCACGTGATATATGTCGTGCGCCAGTGATAATTATCTCGTGCGCACGAGATATTATGTCGTGCGCACGAGATAAAAAATAATTTTGGATGTCCCTTTAGGGGCTCCGTAACTTCATTAAACTCCGTAATTCCGTAAAATATAACTCATAAAAACGAACTTGGCGAAATATATAACTCATAAAAAACGAACCTTGGGAAATATATAACTCATAAAAACGAACCTGGCGAAATATATAACTCATAAAAACGAACCTTGCGAAATATATAACTCATAAAAACGAACTTGGCGAAATATATAACTCATAAAAACGAACTTGGCGAAATAAATAACTCATAAAAACGAACCTGGCGAAATATATAACTCATAAAAACGAACTTGGCGAAATATATAACTCATAAAAACGAACCTGGCGAAATATATAACTCATAAAAACGAACCTGCGAAATATATAACTCATAAAAACGAACTTGGCGAAATATATAACTCATAAAACGAACCTTGCGAAATATATAACTCATAAAAACGAACTTGGCGAAATATATAACTCATAAAAACGAACTTGGCGAAATATATAACTCATAAAAACGAACTTGGCGAAATATATAACTCATAAAAACGAACCTGGCGAAATATATAACTCATAAAAACGAACCTTGCGAAATATATAACTCATAAAAACGAACTTGGCGAAATATATAAGTCATAAAAACGAACCTGGCGAAATATATAACTCATAAAAACGAACTTGGCGAAATATATAACTCATAAAAACGAACTTGGCGAAATATATAACTCATAAAAACGAACTTGGCGAAATATATAACTCATAAAAACGAACTTGGCGAAATATATACTTGATGGCACTACAGGGCTTTCGTAGGCGGGCAACCAATAATGATATGTTGTCACGGCCATAAGGTTTGAATAAAAAAACCTGTATAACAAATTGGTCAATCTCCTTGTTTATCCTCGTACAAATTGTGGAGATCTTTCCTTATAAGCCATATGGGCATATGCATGAAAACGCATAGGCCTAGAATAATGTTAATTAGTCACATGCAGCAAGCATTTTGTTTTGTAATATCAAGACGAATACTGATTTTGTTGCAGTTGTTTGCTTGTTTGTTTGTTTGTTTGTTTTTGGGGGTTGTTTTTTTGTTTGTTTGTTGGGGTGTTGGGTGGGTTGTTTGTGGTGGGTTTTTTTTGGGGGGGGGGGTGGGGGAGAAAGAAGAAAGAAAAGCAACCGTGCATGCATCACAGCAAGACCTCTACCATTCGTTCATTGGCTGCATTGCGCCGCATCATGATGACGTCACTCTTCTCGTCAAAAAAGCGTCTCCATTTTGTGTACATTGCGGATACGTCGACAGAAATTTAGACGTTCAATATTTTTTTGAGCGAAAGGCCTTTCTTCTGAAGTATGATTTCAAGAGTTATGGATTCACAGGAAAAGGTTAATTAATAGAGTGGCACTAGCACGTTTAAGGTGTGAAGAACCCTGAAACTATTTTTAAAGCTCTTTTGCTGTATTTCAATGTAAATGGGCCCTCCGTGTTTAGTGTTTGTGACGACTGAATCCGGTGCATTCGCGTAAACGAACTACACTGTGACAACCCACCGAGATAGCTGGAGCTCTAAAACGGCCGACAAAAAAACTGGGGTAAGTGGAAGTCATTTCCTCACTTGAATGCTAATAGTTAGCAGAGTACTTACAATGTTTGAGGGGTTTTCGAGTGCAACATGCCAAAAAACGGAGAACAACCCCAAGAATCAGGGAGCAATGAATGCTTAATCGGGCTTTGATTTTTCCTGAGTATGTGTGTAAATGGAGTTCTCATCCGAGACGATGGAAAATCACACACGATGAGATCATGTTAATCATATATTTTAGACTGGAGCCTGTGAGGTCAAAATTATCGTAGTTAATGAGAGACAACGTTGACGACTTTGCAAATACCCAGTAGCCTATATATATACATGTAGGTCTATGTACAAAACTTGAACATGACTCTCTCGCACCCTATACAAATGGCCGCGGTGATCAGTCTTTTGATCAGTTTTTTGATTTCGTGGCGAAACGAATTACCTGCAAAGTGAACGTCGACCTCTTTCAGCACACATCATTGAAATTTGTGCTGATCCCCTAGAAAGAGCACTGAAGAATACAGGCCTTCAACTAACAAGTCACAACATCACAAATTGACAACTTCCTGTGATCTCATTCTAGACGATATCCCAAGTCGAAATGTGACAGGTTGATTTGTACACAGACCACTATCTGCCATGTTTGGTTATACTTGGCTTATAGAGAATGACAACATGATACTGATAATGTGGTATATGTTCAAAGGGAAATGTAAAACGATTGCACAATAAATGTATGTGCAAAGCTAGGAAGGAAACGTCAGAAATTTAGTTCTCCCCCCCCCAATATTTAAAATGTCGGAACATCAGTATAAAAGGCTTCTCGATCTCTTACATCACTGAAATGCACTGCCTATCCATAACATTTAAATTTAGGCCTACAAACGTTTCCCACCATTGTTTAAAGATATATTGGTCTTATAATTTCTGTAGAGATCTAATTCACTGGCCACTTTCAGTCATGGAACGTAAAAATAGTCAACATCCATTAAATGACCATTTAAGGAATACAATTTTTGCAGTTGGGCTGCATTATTGTGCATGCAGAATATATTTTGGAAACAGTCTTACCGTGCACCGAGCATGGGTCGTACCGTCCACACAGCTTGCGACACGGCCGATTGTTGCATCCGCGATAATCTTGTCGTTGAGAAGCAAGGCGAAATAAATATTGTGTGCTGATAACACCAGATTTTAAATCGATGAAATTCAAATAATGCTATGCCTGCCTTGTATTTCATTTGTAACGCCGCAACTGAGTGTTCAAACGCAGTATCAATATTTCTACGAAAAAGTGTTGACCTGTAGGATTGACAGATCCAAATGGACAAGGTCCTCGACTTGTGCAGCATATCCACTAATTCATGCTTAGAAATTCAGCATCCTCCCCCCAAAAATGTCAAATTTAGACCTAATAGGGGGCATATACAAGTCATGTATTACCATGTTATAGAAGTTTGTTGATAAAAATACTCTATTGAAATGAACAAGTACATTTGTTTCCTTCGGCGACTTCATTTTTTCTGAGTATTGTCCGAGATCTTAAAAAAATACTTTTTTTTTAAATACTGAACGTAAGTTTGAAAGATTAACTACAGTTGTCTATACTTCATATGTATTTGAAACTTAGACGAAACGAACGTCGATCAGAGCCTACTGATCGGAACGTTGAGTTTCACAACCAACCTGTCACCGTTCTTTTCAGAACCACACATCTTCTCAAAAGAGATTCTTCCACATGGTGTTACCGCAAATGAGTGAGCACTCGTTTATAACTTTTCACCGTTTTACACTAAATTCATCGTTGAATATTTGCAACTTCAAAATGAAAACGGGGAAGGTCTGTTTTTATTGCATAAATATCGAGGTATTTTGTCAGCACTTTCCTGATAATGAACCCTTTGTACCTCGGTCGCCTAAACTTTGACACCTTCAAATACCAGGCGGTATCTGAGGACAGATTGTGTACTGAGGTCGCAAGCAAACCACGTCGATTGATAGCTTGAGATTGCTCACCATTCTACCCCCAAATCCCGCCCACTGCTAATGCGCGAGATGATGCGAATCTTTCAACGACCGACCACTGGACGAGGCGACATGGAACGCTGAAGAAAAACGTGCCAAATCTGTACTTGTTGCAATTGCGCATGCGAGCATATATTATAGTGCCTCATTGTTATTAGTTCAAAGCCATAATGCATGTATACCCTAAACATGGACATACACGTTTATGCCGCATGACTTCGAGTTTATCACGTTTGTATGACGTCAGTTTGGGCTGGGTCAGGCGATCGCGCGACTCGCCGTAAAAAAAGGAAAGCTAATCGGCATCGTGACAATAATTATTGAGTATGCGGAGTCAACGGTTTAAACGTGACTCGTAAAAACGTCTGCTTTATAATAGGTTACATTAAGGGACTTTGCTCTATTTTGGATTTTCCAGCAGGAACCGCAAAAAAGGTGAGTTTCCTTTATTAAAAAACTTTAGTTTTGTTGTTTTTATGAAGCAAATTGATTTGAAAAGTTGTATTATACTTTTTGGTGAACAAAAATCCGAGTCAGTGCCTGCAAAGAACTACCCGCAAACTGGAAAATGATGTGTTTGTAGTAGCATTGGGGATTTGTTTATATACGTATAATCAAGCATTGCTGCTGCGTACAAGTTCTGAAATTGGTAGAGTTTGGTTTGCTGTCAATCTGGCATTTATCCTTACCCAGATTTGAATGACGCTAAGTTCTGGTTGTACAAATTGAAAAGAAAACAGGAATTTTTGTGTCCCCCCCCCTTTTTCACTCCAGTTTCAATGTAGGTGTATTATTTAGAAAGCCGATAAGAAATTTGCTGCAGCAATCAAATGTAAAGTTGTAAAAAAAAAGGCAAAGAAAATACCCAAAAAAAAGTCAGCGGCGCGGCCGAATTTAGGCGCGGCATTCAATATATCTCCACTCTTTCATCAATCATTCCTATATCTTTGTTCGGATCATTTCCCATGTGCCAATACCGTGCCACTTTCACACAAATAATACGACTGTAGTCAAGGCCGTGCTGTATTTGGGAGGCCATATATTGTCAATGCCAAACGTTTTTTTTTTATAAAGATACGCACCACTTGCAATTTTCAGTAGTCGGCGAGAAAACCCCTCGTACAAACAGGCAGTAAACAGTGGGCCAAATTGCCATATTCGACGGCACATGCAACCGAGTTTGGTCAGAGCGGTGATTTGTATCGTAAGTACTTTTAATGTCACTTTTGGAGGATGTTATGGAGACCAAGTTGAGAGACAAATAGAATGAGCAATTGGGGAGGGTTGTAAAAGAATTTGTTAAGATCTGGAACTCGTATAGAAGTGTGTCATTTCGAATAAAAGTTTTCTTGTGTGGTTAAGAAAGGAATATCGATTCAACGTTTCGAACAGTACCTTTTCGCCGTCGGGAGATTTAAGAATCATTCAGTGATAAGATCATGCCGATGACTTCCTAGCAAAACTATCCATTGTTTTAAAGTTCATGTCATGATTAATTTTATTTATTCGGCATGAGATATACTTATCAAACAATATAGTACAACACAGTAATACAAATATAGCCAGTGGCAAATGTCAGGAATTTACCAACAAAAGTAGAACTGTGTGACTCGAATTAAGGCCTTTAATTCCTATTCCACTGGTTCTGTAATAAAACTTCAAAATCCACCCATATATACTCCTGATTGACATCAAGGAATTACAATTCCTGTCATATTTCCACTTACTTGACTCCTATATTGCTTGCTTTATGTACGCGTATACTGTCCTATGGGTTTAGAGTCCAGCCCATGTAACTTTTAAGGTCATTTTCAGACTATATTGTCTGTTCAGAGTGCTGTGAGGGTCATTTCTATAATGGTGTTCGTGGACGATTGAGGTATTAAATCAAATTCCATTCAACCATGAATGACCTCGGTTGCTATACACTTTGTTAAATCACGGTCCCTGACCGCCACTCAATGAATAGGTTGTGTGAGCGTAAACCGTAAATTTTGAAAAGAGAAAGAAAACATCATTAAAAGAAATTCTGCTGATACTGCAAATGTGTATTTTCATAGCAGGGGTGTAGCAGTGTTTCTTTCAGACCTTAGTCCGAGACTAGATTTGGATTTTATATTTTTTTTTTACAAGCGCAGTGGAAGCCGCTGTGGCAGCAGAGTTCGCTATTAACTTTGGAACTTGGGCAGTGTGAATGCAAATGCAGTCTTGGATCAAGACTATAGTCTAATTAGTATCCCCTTTAAGTGCCAAACATTTTACCGTTCTTTAAACAAAGTTACACAGAATTTCATTCGAATTTAGAGATGTTTACTAATACTAGAGCCACAATTCCGAAGATGCGCTCAGAAGGTGCGAAATGTTCAAGCCCTGGCGCCATTTTGACGTCTACTCCACAATCACAATAAACATTCATGAGCTTTCTAGTTAGTCAGAACTTTTATTTTTTATCTCGATATAAAAAGAAATCTTGTAGGCCGGAAGAATACCGCCAAGGGAACACCTATTGTTTTCTGGTTAAAGAAGTAATGTTTAATACTTTAACCATAATTTGATTTCTCCCAACTAGTTTGGACCTTTGATAGTTTTATTTTTACAAAAAGTCGTTTTTGAATTTGTGTTTTTGTGCCCAAACAAGTAGACTGGTTCCAGTCGCTACATTATCGATTCTATAAGGGTGGCGGGAACGAAGTCAGTTAATGTTTGGCCGCAAATAGTTTGTGCATAATTTTTAATTAAACGTGGGCCGAATTTGTTTTCGGTCGACGTCACACTCAAACGTGACAAATCAATATTTCGGGGTTAACCTCGAAAATTGCACGCACAGTATACGTCTTGAACAACTAAAGATAACACAATGAACTGACTTTTCCATAGTTTCTAAACAGCACCGCCATTACTCCTCAAGAAAACAGTGTTCTCATGTACATGTACCTGTAGGCCAACGATAGTGTGCGCAACACCTGAAGAATTTTTTTTAACACAAGTCTGTTGATTGTTGAGAGAAACTTTTGTCAAACAATACAAATATTATGGGGGAAAAACAATACACTCGTTCTCCGAACGATAGCTTGAGAAATCTTTAATGTATTGAGTTGAAATTCGGTCTGGTTGTTTGTTTCTGATATATAACACAAATCTGTTGCTTGTTGAGAGAAAATATTGTCAAACAATAAAAATATTATCGCCCGAACAATCCAGTGTGTACACCGCGAAAAATACAATCCGAACGAAAGTCAACTTTAATGGGGAAAAAAAATACACTCGTTTTCCGACCGATAACTTGAGAAGTCTTTAATGTATTGAGTTGAAATTCGGTCTGGTTGTTTGTTTGTGATATATAACACAGGTCTGTTGATTGTTGAGAGAAATTGTCAAATAATAAAACCATTATAGCCCGAACAATCCAGTGTTTTCACCGCGAAAAATACAATCCGAACGAAAGTCAACTTTTATGGGGACAAAAAACAATACACTCGTTTTCCGACCGAACGATAACCTGAGAAATTGTTGATGTACTGAGTTGAGAGAAATTGTCAAATAAGAAAAATATTATAGCCCGAACAATCAAGTGTGTTCACCGCGAAAAATACAATCCGAACGAAAATCAACTTTTATGGGGAACAAACTAAGTTGATTCGGTCATTTTTTTTGTGGACGAGTTGTCGTGAAATTATACTGGCGATCGTGACACATTATGAACAATTCCTTAATATTTCTTGAGAGCCAGTAGTCTTTTTATTCTATATAGCTACAGAGTTGGGTGCAAACATTTCGTGAAGGGGTGGTTTGCAAGAGAGAAATACATTTCCCACCAATTTTGTATTGAAATAGAATGAAATAGAAGTTCATTTCAACTGTAAATCAAATGACAAGGATCTATGTCAGTTAAAAACAAATACTGAATGGCTTTAAATTGTTACATGGGAGGAATATTATCGTTCGGTAAAATCTGGACTTTTCCATTTCAATCGGCTTCGCCTCGTGAAATAGAAAAGTCCAGATTTTACCTTGCGATAATATTCCTCCCATTTCACTCTGAGCCACTGGATATTTGTATACTGGTGTGCTTCCCACTCGCAATGCGTCCCCAATAACCTTAGCCATCTTTTTGAGGATATCAAATGTAAATTGTTTGCAACGTTTTTGTAAGTGGAACGCGCACTTGTTTTTTTTAGGCGGGAACAAAAGACGTAGGTTCCTCCTTTTATGCTAGGTTATGTTCAATAATAATAATATGCGTCCATAGTCACAAAATAAAAAAAACATTGATGAACCTACGAGAATTTGAGTGAACGGGATCATTGGGTCATTTAGGCAGATAGGTTCACATCTTAAAAACAAAACGTTAACTATACGTCTGCTTAGCGGTCATGTCAGGATTTTATCGTTTCCTTGTTTTGGGAAAAAGATTATAACGACAATTTTGCTGAGTGGTTTATAGAATCTGTTGAACGGCATGGTTGACGCCGTGCCATGAATTGCGATGCTAGAACCTCGCCCCATTTTCGGTATTTCGCAAAATCCAAGCGGCGATAGTGGAATTATGTGACCCAGTTGCACTGAAACAAGATCCACAAGCTCATGCGGCGAAAATGAATGATAAGAGATAAAACAAGGCAGAACACGACTTATCATCATAGAATGAAATACTTTATCTTGGTGTTTCATCAGGTCGTCGTGCCCAGCTAGCTTTCGGTTTCAACTTACAGAACACAACTTACTACTTTGTAGGCGTCTGACTCACAGACTATTAACTTACCCCATGTGCCTCTATCCCTGGGTATTTTCAAAATTTATTCATTTTTTTTCATGAGGTTACTAATACTTATCTTTAGAGAGTACATATTCAAATACAGCGCTCGGTATAAGAAACAACAGTAAATCAGTTAAGAACTGGACACCCCCCCCCATTTAAAAGGATACTTTTAGTCCTCTTGATATTCATACACGAGAATTGTTGTTTTTTTGCAAGCCAGATGATCACTTTCATACTTTTCATTTGAAAATCATGCATTGATGAATGTTCGTACAGTACCACGCTCGTTTCAAGTCTGTCATCAGATACCGTCAAAACTTCAAACCACGGATTAAAGAACACACCCGCCTGGGCCGCGGCAGGCCCTCCCAGAAGCCAGACACAGGGTCGTATCAGTTACTCCAACCTTATATATCACACAGGGGAGCTGGGACATTGAACTTAAAGACCCCTAGAAGACGTGACATGAGACCCATGGCGAACTACGGCTCAAAGCCGCTACAAAATCTGGAAGAGATTATCACATCTTCTCACATCTTTCTAAGCGGGTTCTGTTCATTTCACTGGAAGTAACGAGTGATTTTGACCTTAAAGGGAAGTCCGAGACTTGAGACAAAATTACAAATTTAAATCGATAACAACGGAATGCGGATCCGTCAATACGGATTCGCACTAACGGATTGTGGATCCGTAACTACGGAAACGTCCTAAAGGATCGCGAATCCGTTTTCCCCCTTGGCCTTCTCGCTGGCGCTATTGGGCTTTTCATGCATGGGTACAAATTTGGTTTCGTGACAAATGTATATTAGGTTTTTAGTTCGTTTCTTTGTTGTGTGACCTCAGGTCGCAACGTTACTCAGTAGGCTCGTGTCTCAAACCTTAAGTCCTCCCGAGTGGGGGGTGTACCGTAAATCTCCAGATCGGAAATCAGACGACACGACCCCCTTAAGCGTTCGTAACTCATCGCCTGAGTGTGTTTATTCACAGGTTGTTATTTCCTGCGTTAAAGTTCGAACGAGTCTGAAAGTTGAGGGCATTATAGTTGTCCTGGATCGGTTGCGCGTGACAAATGCGCTGCTCAGCCGCCGTTTGTGGCCATTAGTTTGATATAAGCAAACATGCATAGCTTGGTCATCGTTAACTCGTAAATCGCACGAATGGTCTCGTTTTGGAGTTTGTCAAGTACTCGTTAGGCACATTTGGACCATCCCAAGGGGGCTATCCGGATGAGGTATTGAGTCGTTTCGACTTGAACTTCGCGGTAAAGGCCCATACAGCTAAATACTTGGAGCATAGTCTGAATTTTTGACAAGTCTTGCATGTGTTATAATTTCCCTCTATTTGTGAACTTGAAATTGAAGATCGGCATTTCTTTTCGATTTTGTTCCGTTTTAGTTTATCGTGCCTAAAACGACGAAATCATTTCGCCGAGTCACACTGACTTCCTCACTTAACCGATACAACGATGAATGGAAGCACGCAGCCAGACATGGACGGCCCGAGTGATGGCGGGTCAGCGACTACACGCCAGCGGACCAAAGACGAGATGTGCTGTTGCTGCATCTGCTTTCATCCACGCTGCCTCCAACCATTGGCATCCCTTACACTATTCATTATCAATGTATGTCTCCTGTTATGCTTCTCGGCCGCCGCCCTGGCCGTCTTTGAAGGCCTAGTCACCACTATCGAGACACGCTACCAGTTGAGTGCGGCAGAGATCGGCCTGAGTGCCTCCATGTTCACGGCTGGTACGGCCGTGTCTACTGTCATTGTCACGCACTTTGGTGGTAGACCTACCAGCCGCCGTCCGATCTGGATCGGGCTGGGCGGGCTGTGCTTGGCTCTCGGTGCGGCCTTGCATGCCTTACCTCAATTCGTCCTGTCCCCCTACCAGCCGCCCAGCTCGGTATTCCTGGGGTCTTCCTCCGACACTAACTCCTCGGAGTTTATCAGCGGGCTCTGCAACTCTGATGCCGGGATCGGGACGGGAGATGATTCGTCGTGCGAAGCGGAAGATCGGGAAATACTCCGAGACAACAACGTCGCTTACATTATCATCGTGATTGGGCAGATTGTCCTGGGTGTGGGTTACGGACCTCTGGTACCACTCACATTGGCCTATGTAGATGATAATGCTACAAGAGGAACTACTGGCTTAGCATCGGGTAAGTTACAAAGACTCAGTTGCTGTGAAACAATTCTGCCGCAAGATGACAGATTTCTATTTTTGGGCAGCAAATGATTTCCTTCTCCTTACAAAAATATCCAATCGGGATGAAATTCAACATCAACTTCAGTGAAGTAAGAGATTTTATTTTGTATTTAAATTGCACATTCATCCGAATTTTGTTCCACCGTTTATTTTGACTGACGGTTTATATCAGGTGCTCCCGTACCTCATTAACTTATGGAAAGTGAAAATCGCATCAAGGTTAGAATTAAGAAGATAAAATTGGCACACAGTTCGAATCGAAGGGAAAGGCAAAATGCACAACATATTGCCCTTTCCGATCTATCAGACCATTATCTCGGCGCAGACAGACAATCTGTCCAAGTAATTCCCCTCGTGAATTGTTATTGTAATTTATCCCGATTTCTGTCTTAGGAATTCTAGAGAGCATGTTCGGTTTAGGAGCCATCATTGGCTTCCAGATAGCCAGCGCAGTGGTGGGTCTCTGGGTGGACTTTTACCGTGTCGATGCCGCTACTGTTTCGGGGCTAACGCCGCATGACCACGGTTGGGTGGGAGCCTGGTGGCTCGGTATGCTCATCGAAGCCGTCATCTTCTTCGTACTCGCACTTCCGATGTTCGGCTTTCCGATGCGCATCCCTGGTGCCCGCAAAGACAAAGATGCGAAGAGGGTTGAAGAGATCGATCTTGGTGGTAATGACGGGGACGAGATTGTGAAGACATCGGCACTCAAGGATCTGAAAGGTGAAACGATGTGATTCATAGGTTTAGTGCACATTTCTTTTGGGTAAACATTACTTCCTTTTATTAGAATCATCTCACTATTGTTTATAGAGTTGATGCCTACTGATATCTTCACATTTTTGTTTGTTTGTGCAACACAACTTGTTCTGCCACATGAATAATAAGCTTATTGTAAATCAAATTTGTTTTATTTTGCCCTTTACCGACGCATAAACAACATACACTCAGTGAGTTACCTCCCGAGCGAAAGTTGAAAAAAATCACTCGGGTGGGACTGGAACCCACGACCTCCTGCTTTCTAGTGCAGATGTCTTACCACTCGACCACCGAGCTAACGGGATCGGTCGGCTGGTTCCGGGACGGTTACCATATACAATAAGCTTGTATAACGGGATCGGTAACCATAATATACAAGCTTATTGTTTATGGTAACCTGTATATAGGCCTGTCGATGTGTTAGCCGTTGAAACATTGCCGTTGAAACATTGTTTCCCTTCATTTTGTCTTTCCACGAAATTATATCATGCAAGTCGCCCTATCATAAAGTTTATAACTGACCAACTTCTTTTCTGAATTTCATTTCCCACAGAGTGGCCTCGCTCAGTTTGGCGCCTCCTTAAAAACTTGGTTTTCCTGCTGGCCTGTCTGTCGTTCGTCACAGAGGGCGCCCTTGTCTATTCGCTGGCAGCATTCTTCCCAAAGTACATGCAAGTGCAGTTCGGTCTGGATGTTTTCTCGGCCAACCTTATAGCGGGTACAAAACCGATGTTCTCTCTTAGTCATTATAATCACACAGAACAATGTTCTTATTAGGTCATCAAAAATAAACAAAACTTCTGGAGAATATTTTGACTAAATCTGAGATTTTAAACGCCAAATATTACGCCATCTGTACTCGATCCTTTCAAAATTTGAACAAAAGTATTTTTCTCTATCTATTCGGGAAAGGAACTAACCTGCCATACAAGGCAAAATATCTTTCCATTTCACCACAAAATAAATTTTAGACTGTACTGCGGATGGACGGGCATATCCAGTGGAACATATCCGGGCAAAGATTTAGAAAACTGATATCCATCTGATGGTCAGAACACATTGGTCGAAACGTCGAGTTATTAACACTTCTGGATATAGTCGCTTCACGTTGTGTATCCGATACACTTTCACAACTTAAATTAAAGTAGTAAACAATTTGAAGTGGCTTAACTCAAATTCATTATTTTTTGTTTGCTGTTAGGTTTTGCCTTCGTGCCACCGTGGGCTATAGGCGCGCTGATCGGGGGCATCATTGTCAAGAAACTCGGGCCTCACATTCAGGGCTCGGCAGCCATGGGCCTGGTATCCGGCGTACTCGCCTGCAGCTTTACTGTGGTACTTATATTCATTGGATGTGACAACCCACCCATCGCTGGAGTGACCGTCGGGTACCACGGATATGAGTAAGTGCGATAAAAAAGAAAGAATTAAACTGACACCAACCTCGTCCCGAGAGCTTATACTTTATTTGCAACTTTATTTGGAAACGTTCTTCCTGTATCCTGATTCGATACCGCAATAGCAAGTAATGGATTTATATCGAGTACTTGGTAATTTATTTCCAACGTGTAGTACGTGTTTAAGTGTGAATTATAACGTACACTTCCCCTTTTCCGTTTTGCTTATAATATCAATAATTATGGTGAAAATTGTGACATAATCATTAACTTTGAAAACAAATCGTGTTTTCAGATCTCGCGCCATGACGAATTGAGGCTGTACCCAGACAGGAACCGCATAAAAAAAACACTGATTTAATGGGCAGGCACCAGACCGTTCTACCTAATTTGCGTATGCAAGATTTTGAACATGCAAAAAAGTAATGTTCAATACCAGTGACAGAGCAGGTAGTGGGAGGTACAGCTCGACACAGTGGGACCGAGGTTGAAACTAACACATACTACTTGGGCCCAAATCGCTACAGTGATGTAGGGCATATAGGCCTACATACCTTAAGCTTAAACTGTCTTAATTCCATTAAATGTTATACAAGCTATATTTTTGGATGGTTAAATTTCATAAAACCACACCAATAGAGGCAAGGTATGAGAGTTGAATCCATTGTAATCGAACCTTTCTCTTTCAACTACCTGACAGCTTGGACCCCAACTTGAGTCTTGAATCAGCATGTAACACAGACTGTCTCTGCCCAGTTGACACGGCCTATGCTCCGCAATGTGGCTCGGACGGAGTGACGTATTTCTCGCCCTGCCATGCTGGGTGTACCCAGATCCCGGGAAATAAGGTACAGCCGGACTCATTGTATTCTGTGAAAACGATTGCCAGTGAATCTGGTAAAAAACTAAAACTAAAACGACAAACAAGAAATAAGTAAAACCAAAATGACCTACCCCCACCCCCCCCTCCCCCAAACTCAAATCCCAACCAAAACCCAACTCAACCCACATAACCCAACACAACTCAACCCAACCCAACCCAACCCATTCGTCAACATTGGTTAACCAATTAAGCATTACAATAATTTTTAGAATGAGGGAAGATTTTAGAATAATAGATCACAATTGCATATTTTCCACATCCAGACATATACAGGTTGCTCATGCCTAATGCCTGATGATCCTGCAACTACCCCCTCTGACGTCATGGTCACACCCACGCCCTCTGCGTTGACCTTTGGCCTTTGTCCATACACTTGCACCAATGTGGTGGCTTTTATCGTGCTGATGGTTCTGTGGGCGATCACTCTAAGCTCAGCCACGTCCCCGCGGATCATCATAATCGTCAGGTAAGACAGACAGGAAAATCAAAACAACCTCGTTTCCAGGATGAGCGACCCCACCATGCGATGTGTGATTCTTGGTTCAGCTCGTGCCGAACTTCTGAAGAAATTATAAGAATAACGTGTGACGTTGAAGTTATAACAATAAAGTTGATTTAGGTGGTACATATGCATATATACGTTCATTCAAAATGCGCTATTGGTAGAGGGAGCATGCGCTTAAGACCGGTGTAGCGTGAATATCCGACTCCATGAAATATGGACTCATTGGTAGTATTGCGCAGGCGTAAGTGTGATAATAGCCTATTTATAGGCCGATTATAGGAGACTTGTCACGTGTGGGGGATTAACCAATAATAGGGAAAAGGAGTCTAATTTTCATAGGAGTCGGATTTTCATATGACACCGGAACATGAGCTGTACATACTGTGGTGCCGGATTCATTTATTTTACCTCTGATAGTAATTTTGTATTGCTGAATCGGCCTAGTTTATGGTTCTAAGTTTGTTAAATTTTGAATAGAACCGGTGAAAAGTACCTTTAATTGTACCCTTTTCGTCTTTATTTTTACTAGCTCCGTCCACCCATCTGACAAGTCCTTGGCGCTTGGTATTAGCCGCGTGCTGATGTTGCTTATTGGTAAGGTTATTCATTCAACGTTTTGTCAATCAATTTATAAACGTTTTCCCTGAAATGGCAACATTTGGGGAGAACGGCACTGCACTGTTATGTCAAAAGCAGAAACCGCCCACCTCTCTGAACACGATCAACCGGCAATGTCCTATAATAAAACGGGACGCGTATATTCTCAGGAAGGTTGGGGCCAATTCATGAATAATTCAGTAGTTTCGATGGGAAAATTGTGTTTATTCATGAGAACAGAACAATGACATGGATAGCATTGTTCTTATGATTTAGTCAACCAGTTACATTAAAACGTTTTAAAGAACGATTGTTGTTGAGCTCGACATCAATCGTTCTTTAAAATGATTTAATGCTATGGCGGATAGCGAGATGAGCCATGGTTACAAAGATATCTTGGTCGAATCCTGCTCACTTTCATCGACTATTTTTTCATCTCCAAATTTATCGTTGAAATAATTAAAATCTAAGGAAAAAAAGAACCTTTGTCTTGCAGTGATTCAAAGGAAAAACTGAATAATTCATGAATTGCCCCTCACCCTCCTTGGAAAAAAATACGCAAACGGGACACAAACCAACACACGTAAGTGTGTATTTGCCTGCAATCGGGGACCCCTATTGTCCATCTTCTGTTTGTACTTCAACTTTATAGGAAGACCTTCCACATGTTTTGTACACGAATCCAGATAGGGGACCTCTCGGGAATTGGGGACCCTTGTGTCCTCTTTTGTTCAACGTCCCCTATTGAATGCAGAGACAAACTCGATGTCACAAACGCGAACAAGGACTAAAACGACGGCCGACTACGTTCTAGTACAGTATGACCTATGTCCAAACATAATCATTCATGGCATAGGCTACACACAACTTTCTAACCGTCCCGGAAGCCCAGACATAAACGATACAATCATTCCAAAAAAAAAAAAAGATGAAGAAAAGATACGAGCCTTCATACGACACCGGCGCACTGATTCATTTAAACTGATAGAGGCCTACACAGAGATTGCCTCATTTATAAAATATTAGTTCTTATCTTTGTCGCATCTTTCCATACAGGTTCCCTTCCTTTCCCGTTTTTGTACGGTGCATGTATCGACTCAGCCTGCCTGGTGTGGCAGACCCTTTGCGGTGAACGCGGCTCCTGTTCTATCTATGACATCGTGCAGTTCAGGCGGACCATCTACGCCTTGACAGCCGCCTTGATTGCCGTACAGTGCCTGGCCTTTGCCGCTATCTGGCTGATTGCTCGAATGAGGGCCAAGCAAAACACGCAAGGGAAAAACGCTAACGGAGAAATGGCGGGAACAGAAGCAGCGGGAAAAGATGGTGCCAAAATGTCGCCACCCAACGGCTCGCAAAATGAGGGGTACGCCAACGAAGAGGGAACTTTCATGTAAGATTTGTTGGATTTCTCTTAACATGAGAGAGCGAAGACTTGATCATGTGAAATCTACTGAGTTTTTGGGGTCATAGGCCTACAACATGCCGTGTCGCGTCGAGAAAATGGCTTAATGTCCTCCGATTTCAACAAGTTCAGCTCTTTCTAAACGTGATAACTAAAAGATGTTAGACCATGTCAATTCAATCAAATTAGGTTTTGCCCTTCACCAACGTTTAAACACTGTATACTCAGTGTACCTCCCGAGTGAAAGATGGAAAAAAATCACTCGGGTGGGACTCGAACCCACGACCTCCTGCTTTCTAGTGCAGATGTCTTACCACTCGATCACCGAGCTAACGGGATCGGTTGGCTGGTTCGAATCTGATGTACAAGCAGCGGGTACCGCATGAACTATTATAAGATGGAATTTTGGTGAAGGGCAAAACCTAATTTGATTTATATCACCCCGACGCAAAATTCAATCTGTCAAATTTCTCGATTTGATGAACGTTATCGTTGTGGATGTTGATGTACATTAGGTTATTGTATGTAGCTAGAAAAATGATGTACAGGCACTTCAAACTAACGAACATTCCAAAGTTACGTACGGTATTTTATATAACTTTATACGTCATAACTGTTTATACAGGCTACTTGCGTTGTTATTTTTCGTACATCATTTTAAGTTTAAGATAGCATACAGTCTTTGGTAAATTCAAAGTAGAGTGTTAACAAATTTCATTTAGTCAGTTATTGCACGAGTTTTATTAAAGAGTTACCATTTTGTTTTATAAGTATACACTAGATTTTAGTTAAGTTACCGGGAAGTTTATACGACAGGTAACGGTTTTGTAGGTAGATTATTATTCTATGGAAATGTACAAGCACAATAAAACACCAGCAAAAAGTTCATTTGTAGGATGTGACAGCATTGTTGATGTACCCTAACGTAGCGCGGCCCCTAACGTGGCGCACTTTGAGTTTTCGCCTGTTGCTCCTAGCTAGAGCAAAAGTTTTAACTTAAATTTCACAGAAAGTGAAATTTTATCAAGTTCTAAACACTCCCGCTCATAAATCACGAGTTTATGTACCCATTACAATGTAAGAAGAAACATGTTTTTTTCGGCGTAATTTTCTGATGTTATTTCGAAGTGCACAGTGAACCCTTTGAAAATGTTCCCCCAAAATTGGAAAATTATTTTCTGACAAATTTCCAGTTGGGTATGTATAAGTAGAGATAATGATGGTTTATCAGAATTTATCAGAGATTTATTCAAGTGCGCCACGTTCGAGAACACTCAGCCGATTTGTGCCCAATTTCCGGACGCCACCGTTTTTGAATTTCGGATTAAATTTCATGACACCGAAATTATTCACGGAGGTTAAAAAGCAAGCATTAATAAGGTAAAAGTACCAGTATTTCACTGAATGAATTTCAAGTTTGTCAACAAAGAAGTTTGTGCCACGTAAGGGAACACCACTATAATGTTTAACAATTGTTGACTGCTGTGATGTGGGATATGTCGTTTTTGAACACCCGAGGGCGCATGGCACCCGAGGCGAAGCCGAGGGTGCTATGCGCCCTCGGGTGTTCAAAACATCACAACAGTCGGCAATTGTTTTGTTATATCGCTGTCACGGATTCTTTGGATTTTGATGTACAAATCACGAAAACAACTGAACAACAGCAGTAAACAACAAACGTGACAATCGAACGCCAACTCACGTGCATGTCGCGTGCCGGCTCGTCTGCTAGTTCACTGCTCCCATTCATGTGTGAAAACATGGTGAAATAGCGTGGGTACCAACGATAGAAGCGTTTCACACATTATAGTCTGGACTCATATTCACTTCCCTTCTTTTGTTCCTTTTGTTTAGACTTGAACTTTTGTTATACAAATAACTTCACGAGGTGACAGATGGAATGTTCAATTTCACGATGCGAATGTCATCGAATAAATTATTCTTTCCATTGCATGAATGTCAAACATTATACATTCCACAAGGTCCATGAGGCGAAGCCCACCGAATTAAATTATTCTTTCCACTGCACGAATGTGAAACATTCATTATTTGTATTATACAGCACCTGAATCAATCCTCGTCATCTGATTGATGACGATTGAGCAACCAATTGTGTGACCGTGCAATGGAACTACATGTAGTATTATTAGCCAGTTCCATTCTAAGGTGAGGAGGGAAGTAGTATCCTTACATGATAGTTGTATATAGACATGGCACCACGTGATCTGAAACCACACACCCAAACCCAGACATTACCTCATCCACATTGGAATGCATGAACCCCAACTTACTAAATGAATAATGTATACGATGTACTGAGACACAATAAACCAAGCAAGCATCGAAGCAACAACTATTATCCATGTGCTAGTGACAAGCGCACTACATTACAATGTCATTTAAAAGGGATCATGGGATAAAATGTTCTTAGGACCACAGTCATTTTGTACAACTTTCTGATCCTTTTAAAAATGCACGAAAACTATTTGACTCTCCTTTTCGGTTAATTTCATTAAACATTTACAATTTCCATGCTTTTGCGAACAACTGAGGGCGCTGTAACTGTAATGTCGTTTCAGGGATTTTCTGTTCAAATTGTGAACCCAAAAAATACTCATTGAAAAAGTTTGTTCATTGGCTTACTGCCATGTACGACACATCAAATCACCGAATGAAATTCACGACAACAAAACTAATTCAAAGTTCTGGCACCTTTTGGTGCTGAAATAGCTGTAACATTGAGGTTTCTGCCTGAAATGACATCACACTTTTGCTCATGAATATGGAAATTGCATGTTAGCATAAAAAAACAAACACACACACACACACCCATACTTGTTTCACATGACTAGTGTGGACTTTCCATTGCTTTCGTGTAGTTAAGAAAAACCAGTGAAAAAACTCATTTTTCTCAAACTGTGAAAACTCTTTCAACCCAATTTTTTTTCTATGATTCCCTTTAGTGTTTCTCTTCATTCTGCTACGGATAAACCTAACCCAAAAATGCCTCTAAACCTGTTTTCCAGAAATGGGGAAACACTGTGTGGACGTGGGCAAGTCCACACAACGTCGGTGCTACCTACATTATGTGGACGTCTTTTGTTCGGAAGTCCACACTGCGTATGTAAGACAAGCTCACCCACACACACACCAAAATACTCTTGAAAATCTCAAATTCAGAATTGAAAATAAGGTTAAATGGACAATATTTGCATGTCCCTTTAAGGCACAGAGTATTTAGTGGAGGGGATTGCTGTTCAAATTGTGAGCCTAAACATTTGCTCATTAAAAACATTTGAGTATGAAGTTTTCTCATTGGCTTACCGTGATGCACTGCTACTACAATGAATCACCAAAAAAAGAGAATATTTACTTCAGTTAAAAGAAAAGAAAAGCCACAATTCTGTCAACTTTTGATGCTCAAGCAGCTGTAGCACTGTTTCTGCCTTGGATTATATCACAGTTTTGCTCATGAATGTGGAAACTTGCACTGGCATAAAAACCAAATACGCACTAAAACACCCCTGAAAGTGGCAATATGAATATTGGAAATTCAAGTTAAGTGCGGTACAAAGGTGTCTTTTCAAGGATTGCATTGCCTGCTTTGTCCCCTTGTGCTTACAGCAGAACTTTTGACACAGGTTCGTCAGTCCAATACAGTGGCCAAACGTTCAAACTTCCATACATTTCTGTTGGTAATACTGTCTCCAATGAACATTGCGAGTTGTTCTCAGCAATATTGTATAGCAGCCATCCAAATATCTTACAATATACTGAGGGTGACAGTCCAAGTTTTACTGCCGTATACTATTACAACAAGACTGATTCTACTGTGATAACAAATGAATGTTCTTTCAGCTGCCTTGGTAATGGGGATATGCATATTTGTAAGATTGTTACTTGCCCTCCAACAAGCCGCTTTCCGCGCCTTTATACATCCTTCTCCGCTTGCATGCTCACCATCAGGGCTGCCGTGAGTTGCTGCGGCATGTGAGAGAAGAATTGAGATGGGTTCCTGGGCAAGAAGTGGTTGAGATCACTGTAGAGGAATTCAAGGAGCAGTTGAGAAAAGTGGCGAATTGGAAAGCTCAGGATGTTGACCATGTACATGGATATTAGCTTACGAGTCCCGGCAACCAGCCACTACAGGGATGTCACGTGCACGGGAATCTCCTATTAAAGTTAATGACTGAAGGGAGGACTGATATGCATGTTTATGAAGGATTGCAATAAAAGAAGTGTTGTGTGTTGAGATATGAGCCTGGGGACATAGCTCGACTTGAGTAGGTCAATTGATGAGTTGACAGATAATACCTTTAAAACACTAAACTTAAATAATACTATTCATAACATTGATGTTATGGCAATGTCAGCTTGAACTTTCCCGGATCACCTCGATCGGGAACATACATGCATATTACGTGATTAGTCATATAATTTGCACCAGCTTAAATCATCATGCCGTTTGCTATGACAAGATGCTCAGTCACGCGTACCATCACCAGGCTAGGCACGACGACGCATAGTGCAGCTTGGCATTTGTTGTTAATGTCAATGCATGCACAAGAATCTGTACAATAGCCTGCGCGCCTGGCGGCAGCATGATTCAGATGAGGACTCTCGCCAAAAACTTCTTATTATGCGACGACGACATGACGATGTTGCCCGCGTTTTTCATAGTCTGGCTAGATGTGTAAACAGCCCGGAATGTTGAGCGGTATAATGTAAATCGCGTATACAGAGGGGAAGATGGGGATGCACCACGGTAGCAGGGGAACTGGTGTCGGATTTTCAGCTGCTATCTACTGATGAATGCGGCGTGAATGGGTGGTTGATGTGTGCCTCTTTCCTCGACTCGATGTCTGCCTAAATAGCTGATAAGGTGTGTATCACCATATTATGGTCTAACACCCACTGACTATTCAATCGTTACTTCGAATGTGAAGGCTTATCCTTATTAATTTTGATTAGGTTTGGTTTGTAAAGTATTGGTAAATTAAATCCAGTTGTTTAACGAAAAATTAAAGCCAGTTGGTAAAGCTGTCATTAAAAGCACCGTGTTGACGGCACCAGGCCCTACCTTTTTAAAGGCATTCTAAAACGGATGGAATAAATGCATCTCATTTGTTGTCAGGCCACATCACTGTCTCAGATAC